CTGCTCCTTGGAAACCCTATACAGGGTTGGAATTGACTCAATGGCTCATAACAACAACAACAAACTTTAATGATACTTCTAAAATTTTCAAAAAATTCTAAAAAAATTTTTTTAACTGCTCTGGTAGCGTAGTGGTTCCGAATCGGGCTGCGAACCACAAGGTCAGCAGTTCAAAACTACCAGCTGTACCACAGGAGAAAGATGAGGCTTTCTACTCCTGTAAAGATTTACAGCCTTGGAAACCCTGTACAGGGTCGCTATGAGTCGGAACCGACTCTACGGCACATAACAACAACAGTTAACAAAAGTACAATTTTTTTTTTTTTTTATGTTGACCTTGGTACCTGTGACCTTGGTAAACTCTCTTAACAGTTCTAGGTGTTAATTTTGTATATTTTGTACGATCATGCCATCAGCAAATAAAAATAGTTGTATTTCTTGTTTTCAGTAGATGCATCTTTTTTTTTTTTTTTAAGTTTTTATTGTGAGGTTTACATGGGAGAACATCAGCTTTGCATTCATCCTACTGTATTTTGTTTCATTGCAATGATTACAATCCCCTCCATGTGTCATCAAATAACCAAAGGGTACACCACACAGGCCTGCCCCACAGCCGTCAGCACACAGCCCTTCTCCCTCCGTGAGTCCAGTGTCCCCAGCCACTTCATCTCTCCACTTCATCATCTCTGTCTCCAGCCCTGGAGTCACTGCCTCTCTGGGTAGGGTCACCCTCTCCACTCTTCTCACTTGATGGTCCCAGGGACTTCCGCTCCTGGGCTGCAAAATCAATCACTCTCCTCCTTTTGTCAAAAAACATCTACCTTTATATTTCCTACCCTCACAGTCAGTCCTGATGGCAATTATTCACTATTGTACCACAAGAGTCTTATCCCCATTTCCTCTCGTCAGCTTGGTCCCAATGGATTGGAAATCATTCAGTGGTGATTCTACCTTCCCCTGCTCCGACTGGAACTAGGCTCCCACTTGAATGCTTGTAAGCCAGTCACTTCTTGCCTTTGATGCACCCCCATTTTGGGTAGCCAATGTCTAAGCTGCCCATCACTGTCAACCCTGTGTACCGAGGGGATGGGAGGGATCCTTGCTGTAAAGATTTGTTCCCTTTTTTGAGTTATAACATCTGTAAGTATAGGTAAAGTTCATCAAATTGTATAGCAGGTTACTCTTTTTCAGTAGATGCATCTTTTGTTTCTCTTTCTTGTCATAGTGCACTGGTTGGTTGCAATGCCAATTTTTGTTATTTCCTTTCTATTATCTTCACAAATATTTTATTATCTTCAAATGCTGTGGTGGTGGTGGTGCCATGGAGTCAGTTCCTACTCAGCAACTCAGAGGGCTTCTGAGGCGACAAATCTTTACAGAGGTAGATAGCCTTATCTTTGTTCTGTGGAACAGCTGGCAGATTCAAACTGCTGACCTTATGGTTAGCAACGATATTTATAACCCACTTGGACTCAAGCTGTGGCAACAACAGTGAGGTTGGCCCAGGATTGGGCAGTGTTTCATTCTGCTGTGCATAATGTTGCTATGAGTCGGTACCGACTCGATGGCACCTAACAACAACAATGTGCTACTAGGGCTCCTTATCTTCCACTGTTGTTGTTGTTGTTGTCAGGTGCCATTGAGTCGGAACCGACTCATAGCGACCCCATGCACAGCAGAACGAAACAATGTCCGATCCTGGGCCAACCTCACCACTGCTGCCACACTTGAGTCCATCAATGATGCCACCTGGCCAATCCATCTTGTTAGGGGTCTTCCTCTTTTTCTCTTACCCTCCACCTTACCCAGCATGACATCTTTCTCCAGCGACTGTTTCCTCCGGACAATATGTCCAAAGTATGAGAGACGAAGCTTAGCCATCCTGGCCTCCAAGGAGCACTCTGGTTGTACTTCTTCCAAAACAGATCTATTGGTTCTTCTAGCAGTCCATGACACTTTCAGTATTTTCCTCCAACACCACAACTCAAAGGTATCAATTCTTCTACGATCTTCCTTATTCATTGTCCAGCTTTCGCATCCATATGAGGCTATTGAAAACACCATGGCTTGGGTCAGGTGCACCTTAGTCCTCAAGCTGACATCTCTGCTCTTCAATACTTTAAAAAGTTCCTGTGCAGCAGATTTGCCCAATGCAATACGTCGTCTGATCTCTTGACTGCTGCTTCCGCGAGTGTTGATAGTTGAGCCAAGAAGAATGAAGTCCTTGACAATTTCAATCTTTTCTCCATTGATAAGAATATTGTTTATTGGTCCAGTGGTGAGGATTTTTGTTTTCTTGACATTGGGATGTAATCCATATCGAAGGCTGTGCTCTTTGATCTTCATAAGTGAATGTTTCATGTCCTCTTCACTTTCAGCAAGCAAGGTTGAATCATCTGCATATCGCAGGTTGTTAATGAGTCTTCCTCCAATCCTGATGCCACGTTTTTCTTCATAGAACCCAGCTTCTCAGATGATTTGCTCAGCATACAGGTTGAATAAGTATGGTGAAAGAACACAACCCTGTCTCACACCTTTTCCAATTTTAAAACATTCAGTGTTCCCATGTTCTGTTCGAACAACTGCTTCTTGGTCTAGGTACAGATTTCTCAGAAGTACAATTAAGTGTTCTGGAATACTCATACTTCTCAATGTTGTCCATAGCTTGTCATGATTCACACAATCGAAAGCCTTTGCGTAGTCAATAAAGCACAGGTAAACATCCTTCTGGTATTCTCTGCTTTCAGCCAAGATCCATCGGACATCAGCAATGATAGCTGTCGTTCCATGGCCTCTTCTGAATCCAGCTTGAACCTCTGGAAGTTCTCTGTCAATGTATGATTGTAGCCGTTTCTGTATTACCTTTAGCAAAATTTTACTCTGTATTACCTTTAGCCAAACTTCCACTGTAGCATATATAATTGTTTTATATCCTATATTTGATCATTCTGGTATCAGATGCATTTGGGTATCTGTTTCTGTTGTTACTGCTGGTTCTTACACATGGCGCCTTGTTTCCTCATGTGACTGATTATCAGTGACATGCAGTACTTAAAATATTATCTTCCATAATCATTTCTTAGAAGACATATTCTTCAGAGAAGACTGTTTTTTTTCTGCAAGAGACCTGGGGTCACCGCTAGTCTAGAAGCACTCTTAACTAAGCTCAATCTGAATTACCCAGGCAATGCAAACTCAAGCTACAGAGCCTCACATGAGTTGGTCTCGCTATGGTTCATACTTACTCAGATTGCATAGCTCCTTTGGCTCCCATATATTGTGTTGAGTGTCTTCAATTAGATGCTTCATTTTGTACAGTCCCTGTGCTTTGATATCTAATCCTCTCCCTCACCTCCCACCCCATAAAGACATGAAAATACAATTCAAATTTACCAAGATTGGCAAATGGTCACAGGACAAAGGTGGCTTCTGTGTTAATTTCTCTGTCCCTTTTCTTTCCATTCTAGACTGGTTATTTCTTACTATCTGGTAAACATTTCTATTCTATAAAAAAATTTTAAACTCCTATCTAGAATTTTAAGGAGCTCTGGTAGCGTAGTGGTTACAAATCGGACTGCGAACCTTAAGGTCAGCAGTTCGAAACTATCAGCCGCTCCGCGGGAGAAAGATGAGGCTTTCTACTCCCGTAAAGATTTACACCCATGGAAACCCTGTACAGGGTCGCTATGGGTCGGAACTGACTCGACGGCACTTAACAACAACAACAACATCTAGAATTTTAATTTCTTTTTTTAATAGTAAGGGGCTGGTCACCATGCTATTTACAGTATCCAAAACTAGCACTGACTGCCGTTGTTTTAGGCTAATAAAATAGTTCTCCAAAGTATATATTTTTTAAATCAAAATAAGTAATTCAGTGTTCTATAATCTGAGAAAATTTTAAAACTCCTTGTTCCCTCAGAGTTAGTTTATAAAATCTTACCTTACATTTGGGATCATTTGGTATCTTTGAAATGCTACAGAGGAAAGGTTGTTCTAATATGGACCTATATATAAGATTAAGAATCTATATATAATACATGAAATAGAGTCTTTAATGAATGCTAGTGGCTAGCACCTAAGGAGCTCTGGTAGCGTAGTGGTTACGAATAGGGCTGCAAACTGTAAGGTCAGCAGTTTGAAACTACCAGCTGCTCCGTGGGAGACAGATGAGGCTTTCTGCTCCCGTGAAGATTTACAGCCTCGGAAATCCTGTACAGGGTCGCTATGGGTCAGAACCGACTCCACGGCACTTAACAACAACAACAACAGTGGCTAGCACCTAGGATTTAATAGTACTGGATGCTGTTCTTTCGAACTATATCAAAGAATATCACTACTGACATTTTGATTTTAAATGTGAGAAATGGAGACCTTTGTGACAACAAGTAGACTGTAAATGGCTAATCTTGAGAAAAGGTATGTGTGTACTGTGGAGTCTTCACTATTCTATTGTCTATTTTACAACTCTTTCAAGACATAAATAGCAACATACAGATAACGGTAAGTTAATTACATAGTTGGGGACCTCTGGGACATGCTGTGAATTATGATATGATAATTCATGGACTTTAGTAGAGGATATAAATAAAAGTCTCCTGAGGAAAGAAAAGGCATCCAAAAGCAAAGGTTCTCTCTTGGTGTAATTACTTCTTCTGGATGATCAGGTCATCCTGTACTTTGTCCAACCAACCTACTCTGGCTACCTTTGGATATTCTGGGATAAGACATGATTCTGCTGAGTCTCTTTTTCTTCACTTTCATGTCACTCAAACGCTGATAACATGTTTACCTTCGGGAATGAGGAAAATCTCTTCAAAACCCTCCCCCCCTTGTTTGACAGAGAAACTAAAGCAGCAGCACTTCTGAACGCATCAAGTCCTTTAGATCTGTGCTCCAAGTAATAACAGTGGGAAGGGTCTGGAAGTAGCTCCAAACCTCTCTTCCTGGCCCAAATGTGAACCAGAGCTGCCTCACAGACCTGGCAGTAAGGGCCTTACCTGTGCTGTCTTCCCCAATGCCTTCTGCAGTCTCCCGGAGTTTAATGTCCATCCCCCTTGTGGAAATCATGTCCAGCTCACTACAAGACAGAAACTCATGGTAAAGGAAAATGCTTTTAAAAAGTTTTAAAGAATTAGTGAGATTGTTGCGGTGTCTGTTTTTTGCCCATGCCCTCATCTGCATGCACACGCCCCCAGCAAAGCTAGAGTGCAGGGCAGAGTACAGGACAGTACAGGCACCAAACATGTCCACAGCTACAATACTGGCAGCCACATAAACGTTTATCTGATAGCTGACATCGGCAGGAACAATTTACATGGAAAACAGATAACTGGAACAAATGCTTCATGAATTTAAACAATGCAGATTTGATTACTTCCTCTAAAAACAGTTTCTGTAATGGCGAGAAAACTGCTCATTGTAAAAAGTTTAGAAACGGCAGAGACTACGAATCAGCCACCAATCAAGGACAACCAAATTTAACGCTTCAGTCTATTTCCTTCCGATATTTTTTCTATGCAAATATTTGCATGCACATGCATCAGATTACACAGCTTGGCTTCCTGATTTCCTCACTGATTTTCTTACTTAGACTATGCCACAGTAGGAGGCATGGTGGAGCTATAGGATAAATACTGGACAGCTAACCACAAGATTCACAGTTCAGACCCACCAGCTTCTCCACTGAAGAAAGATGAGGCTTTCTGCTCCCATAAAGATTTACAGCCTGGGGAAGAAGCCCTATACAGGGTCTCTATCAGTCGGAACTGAGTTGACAGCAGTAACATATTATATTATTTTAAATTATTCATAAATGTTATTTTAATGGCTATGTAATAAGTTAATGTACAAGCTGTATAATCATTTATGCATAGTTTGTTAGATTTTTTTATCATGAAAACTTTCAAACAGATATAAAAGTAGAGAGAATATGTAATAAACTTGTGTCATCTTTAGTCCCAGTTCCTATCTACCAGCACTAGATTATTTCAAAGCAAATTATCCCGGGGTGGCACAGTAAGATAAGCATTGTACTGCTAGCTGCAAGGTTAGCAGTTCAAACCCATCAGCCTCAAACCTACCAGCTGCTCCCCGGAAACTCTATTTGGTGTCAGAACCAACTTGACAGCATTAACAATAACTGTCACTTAATTCACTTAAACCATATCCTTAATTCATTTAGGTTTGGTTTCTTCCTAAATTGAAAAAAAAAATTAAAAAATTCTGGCTCTTCATGCAAATCAAATAAATGGTTTGTGGTATGTCTGACTTCAGCAGCTGATTCTTTAAACAGTACACTCTGCCACAAAAATGCTCACACCACCATTCATTTAGAAAGCTAGTTCTTACTGGAAGTTACTATGAACCTCACACTTAAAAAGAGAGAGGGTTCAGTTAGTTGATTACTCAATTAGCACTTGCCAGTTGCACACAGCATATTGTGGGAAATTATGGGATAAACACAAAGACAATATTTAACAGAGAGAAGGACTCGCATGTCTGTGTCAGAGTTGGGTTTCATATTAATTTCAACAAGTCCAGACTCCCTACTAGCCAGTTCCTTAAAAGCTGGAAACAGCTTCACCAGCTTCAATTCTCAAATTCCATATGACTTGGCTTCCAAAAAATGGCTGATTTTTATGTCACCTCTGCCAAAAACTCCATGTTGGACCTTTGCCAAGTAATTTCACTCATGGTCATAGTAACAGGTATAAAATGAGGGCTGGAAGTTAAACAGTATGTTTCAAATCTTTGGTGATGGTGTTAGGCTTGAAAGAATGTCCTTGCACAATTATTGTCTGTGATTAACTGCCCAGATGCCGTCAAAGATCAGGTGATTTACAGTAGTTCAGAGCTGGAAAGTAAACTATACACAGGTGGTAAACACAATCCAAATGACTTGGTACCCCAAAAGGTCAAGTCCCCTGGTCCCCAACATACATTAGCATTAGTCAGCAACCTGCTGGCTCCTCAGAGTCCTGCTGTTCAATATATTATGCTCACTAGTACTGTGATGGGTCAAGGGAGGGCAGCTACCAGGGCATTTAAAGGAAGATGCAGTGGTGAAGAGAAGACAGGAAACTATAAGGAACAAGACACGGAAATGGTCAGGGTTCATTAAGTCATCAATTATTACCCTAGGCATCATCACCTAAGGTTGTTGTTGTTGTTGTTAAGTGCCAATGAGTCGGTGCCAACTCATAGCGACCTTATGCACAGCAGAACGAAACACTGCCCAATCCTGGGCCAACCTCATAATTGTTGCCACACTTGAGCCCACTGGTGCTGCCACTTTGCCTATCCATCTCTCTGGAGGTCTTCCTCTATTTCTCTGACCCTCCACCTTACCAAACATGGTATCCTTCTCCAGCAACTGGTCCCTCCTGACAATATGTCCGAAGTATGAGAGATGAAGTTTGGCCATCTTGGCTTCCAAGGATCACTCTGGCTGCACTTCTTCCAACACAGATCTGTTGGTTCTTTTGGCAGCCCATGGCACCTTCAATATTCTCCTCCAACACCAAAACTTAAAAGCATCAATTCTTCAAAGGTCTTCCTTATGCACTGTCTAGCTTTCACATGCATATGAAGTTAGTTAAAATACCATGGCTTGGGTCAGGCGCACCTTAGTCCTCAAACTGACAACTTTGCTTTTCAACACTTTAAAAAGGTTAGTAAGCCAGAAAGTAGAAGTGCAAGAGCTTTCTGTGACTTAAATTTGGAGTTAAGCACAGTGCCTACAGTGACTTGTGAAGCACATAGTCTGTCATCAGAATTACCTTATTCAATGCACCAAGAATTCAGTATTCTCATTTTGGAGATGAGAACATTGAATGCCATTGTTGTTGTTGTTAGTTGCCACTGAGTTGGCTCTGACACATAGCAACTTTAGGCATAACAGAAAACATTGTCTGGTTCTGCACTATCTTTATAAGTAAATTTATTAACTTAACCAACCCTCTCACCCCATCCTACCCTACTCCATCCCATCCCATCGAGCCTGGAATAGATCAAGAAGTTCAGACTCCCTTCTCTGGGATGAATGATGTGGCTGTGATAAAGCTGTGCAGGGCAGATGGTTTAGGAACAGGCGGGATGCTGGGAGAACCAACAGGTTGGCTCAGTCCTAATCCTTCTGTAAGGTATAATGTGGTAGGGCCTGTTGTTCACCCCGCTATGACAGCAGAGATGCAGGGAGTACCAGCACATTGACAAGTCTGTTTAAAGGACTCACAAACACAGGCAAAAGTTGTTCAATTGATAAAGGTACAATAAATCACTCTGTGTGGGATTTAAAAACACCAGTCCATGTTTTATGTTTCAAATATCTTCATATTCAAAAGAGTATGGTATGGTACAGAGGCCAAAAAGCAGGCTTAGAAGTTAGGGAGTTCTGGGGTTGAAGCATCATTCTACTACTTACTAGCCGCGGGACTCAATTTCCTCACATACGAAATGAGAATGATTAACACTTTGAATGAAACCCAGAATATATCACAAAGCAAGCCATTTACTGAGAAGAGTGGTCAGCAGCTGCTTGTTCTTCACTATACACTCATGTCTCTGTACACACACACACACACACACACTGATAATAAGTGACAACAGTCTCCATGTGCAAGGGGCTCATCTGAGAGTCACTATTATCAAAACACAAGACACCTGGATTCACTGACAGTTGATTCCTGAGGTTCCCACTTACCATCAGCCTAACAGAACCATATACAGTGAGGCTAATCAAACTTCTGCCAGTTGATGGACAACCATCTCTTCAAGGACGTAAGGAGTGTACTGGGGTACTACAGAGAACACAGATTGAGAACTGTCCCCTTTGTCCACTCACTCCAGAGTCCACCAATTCTACAGGTAGAAATACTCCACACATCTATCACAATGAAATGTCTTTTCTTTTGGGTCAAATAACTCGCCCTGCTGAACATGTTCCTCCACCCCAAGTCAAACTCCAAGAAAAGCCAAAAATCACTCATTAACAAGGCAAAGTGACAAATGTCTAATATCTCCTGGCACTCCTCTTGCTTCTCATGTGAGGACAGGGTTTTTTAATTTGAACTCAAAAAATCCAAGTAGGGACACCTGAAAAGGCAAATTGGCAGCTTCAGCCCGTGATCCTTCAACCATGTTGCTCTTTCTCTGACAGCTCTAAGTCCAAGACAAGAAAAATCACCCTCTTTAAATGAAATCTGGACAAGAGGGACTCATCTTCAGGGGTTCCAATTTGCTCAGATTGGTGCTGACCTCCTGCCCCTCTGAAGTTCACAGCATTTCTCAGTGTGTGTTTGCACCCTCAGAACTCCAGCAGAATCCTGGGTTCAGGGAAGACTCCCTGTAGGCACTGCCCCATCTCCACAGAAAACCTTGACTATAAACACCACAGGCACAACTACATCATTAATCACAGCTGATGTTTTTAAAAAAATCTATAAAAGTTTATTCACATGAGGAATCAAAATAGATTTTAGTAAGATACTTTTAAAGTTCCCATCTATTTTATTTACCTCCATGATTCAAAGAAAAATATTTGTAGCCTAGTTACAAACATCTAAGCTCAGTCATTATGTTCAAAACAAAACAAAATAAAAAACTTTAGTGTTCCTGTGTCAGAAGGGGTAAATCACACTGCCCTCAAAGTTATGTTTAGACCTCTGTGGTATTCTTTCGTAGTACCCTGAACCTTTCTTTCACAGTGCTTACCAAGGTCTTCACCAATGAACATTCTCCTTCCTTCTAAGGTTGTGCACTTTGTGGGGCAAACTCAATACCTGCCATATTCACTGTTGCATTGCTAGTGTCTAGCACAGTGCTGTCTTGGGGATGCAAATGGTTAAGTGCTCAGCTACTCACCAAAATGTTGGTGGTTTCAGTCCACCCAGAGGTACCTGGGAAGAAAGACTTGAGAATCTATTTCTAAGAAGTCTCAGCCATTGAAAACTCTAAGGAGCACAGCTTTAATCTGACACATATGGAATCAGCAGGAGATGGAATCAACCGGATAGCAACTGATTTTTTTAGTACAGTCCCTGGCAATGGGGAACTGAAAACAACACATG